AGCTATATGCATTGGGCCACCATCGCAAGCAATAAGGTTTTCAAAGACAAGTCTTTATCCTAACATGGCTGGGTCTTCTTGAGGAGCACAGGACATAGAAAGATAATTAAAAGTCAGGCAAGCATATTCCGCATCAATTAGTGCTACAGCAATGAGTGTTGCCAAGGAAAACTGACTAAGGATTTCTGTGGAGAGGGAAGTCTTCCTGAGGGTAGGACGGCTTGAAAAGAAGGTGGCTCTTAGGCAAGCAGAGGCAGGGTCTTGGCAGTTGGCGTGATCACAGGTCCAGACAGGATGAGGGGTGTGTGCACAGAGTGTGTGGAGATAGTTGGCCTGGAAGAGCGGGGCTGTGAAGGGAAGAACATTTGTTGTTGATGATCAGACAATGAAATTTGGTTCAAACAGGTTATGAGAGACATTATGAGGAGCCTTAACAACCAAACCATGTTGGGGCTGTCCAAAGGGGGAATGGAAGGACACTAAACAAAGGAGGCTCAGATCCAAAATCATAAATTACTCTTGGCCAACTTTGGAATGTCTCAAGGTCAATCTGGCATGAGCACATGTAAAGGACCGATTTTAGGGAGGAGAGGTTACAAGCGGGGACACCAGTTAGGATACTACGGCACTAGTTTAGACACCAAGTGATGCAAACCTGGACACGGGGAGAAATCAAGATGATGGAAGATTCTAGTGTGGGTGACGGGGGTCTCTATATTTGCTGAAAGAAGGAGTGAACAAATGAACAAGGGCAAAAATTCAGGGGAAAGCTGGTTTAAAAGGGAAAGATGATAAGTTTGGATTTAGACAGCTAAATTGATAGCGATGGTCAAAGGTGGAGGTGGAGGTCCTCAGGCAGTGGTAGGAGCTGTGAGACTAAAGTCTGAGAGTCATGAGAGCTGTAGACACGGGTTTGGAGTTAATCTCCAGGGAGATCGATGTTTAACCCACGGCAGTAGACACATCCTTTGCTGGGAGCTCACATGCAGAGAAGAGCAACAGAGAAGGCTGAAGACTGAGTTTGAAACATGTTCAAACTTAGGGAGAAGATAGAGGAGTAGGAACTAACAAAGAACCCAGAAAAGACATAACCTGAGAATTAAGTGGAGAAGCAGGACAATGGAGAGGTTAAAGGGAATGACAGTGAAGGTCACTGATGGCCTGGAAAGAAGATTCAGGAAAACAACAATGTGAAGAAAGCTGCACGGCAGTGGGTTGAGGAGCAGTTGTGGGAAAAGCAAGCACAACCTTTCGCAGTAAGAAGAAACGACAGCAGGTGAGGGGGAAAGAAAGGAGGGAGGACTTTAGTCTTAACGAAACACCCCTGCTACAGAGGGTAAGTACGGGGGGCACCATATTTGGCCTCTTCGGACTGTGGAGGTGATATACGGTCTGGATCTTTAGATTTGATTTCTACTTCCTGTTTAGCAGGTGGCATGCACCTCTTTTGAGGAAGCGCCCTCTACTAATTCTTGATACATATTTTATTTCCTTAAATACTTTTTAACCCGGAGTATCTTCTCCAAGTCAGGATAAAATGATATATTTTGTTCCATCAAATGATGCTTTGTACTATGCAAGACGAAATGTAGGAGAATTTTTAAAAGCTATAAAGCAAAAGGCAAACATATTTCAGTGAACAGGATTTCAGTAACTGAATACATGCTAGAATATTTTGGAACTTGATTGGGTAAAAGCAACCCTGTCTGTTGGTTACCTATGTCCTGTTGTATTATGAAAATTGGCACTCCCTTATCAGGCTCCTTTTATCATCAGAAACTTCTTGCCCAAGCTCCTTGCCTGTCCCCATCCTCCTTCTCCACCCCTAACCTTTCTTCATTTTCCCCCCACTTCCTCCTAGACACTTATTGTAGGAATTGGTCTACATTGTTTTTATCTTGAGTCTTAACCAACTGCTATACTGCTTCTCACAGATCCCTGAGTCTCTTCAGATCTGCATTTCTTCTATTTCTGAACTTCTTCAGAAGACTGACATCAGTCAGTACTATTGACTGTGTGATTACGGGCAAGCGTGCTGTGCTAAGGGCTGGGGTTTCAGGAGCTAACGACAGAGACCCTGGAGCACACTGTCCAGAAGGTGGGACAAACAAGAAGTCGTCAGAATGCAGTGTGAAGGGGGAGTGTCCACCCACAGAACCTCACGAGGCCAGGGTCAGGGCGAGGGGCTGGCTCTCCTCAACACCTTCACTCCTAGGGGAGAGTCTGGGAAAATTATTTAAGCCCTTCTAGAACTGTAAATAAATTATAATACATCACATAGAGCTGTTCTCCAAAATCTGCCCTCATCTCTCTTCCTTGATCATTTATAGCTGGCTTCAAGATCAACTCTATGCCCTTAACTTCCTTATCTGCATCTTCAGAAGCTTGAGCCTCTCTTCAGAGGCCTAACTACAGCTACTGGTTGGCCATGCCAACTGGACACCCCTGCTTCCAACTTATACTTCACATATGAAAACTCACTGGCTCTCAGAAGCACCAAGTGTTGAGTGGCACTGCCCACTTCTGCCACTAGCACCACCATTCTTCCAGAAACCCAGGGGTGGAGCCTCTTTTGAGTCCTGCTCCTCCCTTGCCCCAATATCTAATCAGTCTGTTTCCTAGTCTTTTTGAATTCCCCCTTCCTTTGCGTTTTTACTGCTACGATTAGTTTCGACTTCATTAACTAGCCTAACCACTGCAGTGGCCTCCTCCTAACTCCCCTGTGTTACGAACCTCCATCTTTTGAACTTTGACACCAGATCAGTCTTCCTGGATTACAGCCAACCGTCGCTCCTTTGCCCACTGCCTATCCTAGGCTTCCGTGCTCGTGCTCTCACCCCACAGCTTCTCCACACACTAGTTCTCACCAGTCTCCTTCATACGTTTTATACTCGTCGTTGAACTGCTGCCCGTTCTCACACAATCCACGAGGTGCCCTGACTGCTTACACTGCTCCCTCCATCTGGAATACTTTCTCCATGTCTTTTTAAAGATTGGCACCTGAGCCAACACCTGTTGCCAATCTTCTTTATTTTCCCCTCTTCTTCTTCTTCTCCCCAAAGCCCCCCAGTACATAGTTGTATATTCTAGTTGTAGGTCCCTCTGATTCTGCTGTGTGGGACGCCGCCTCACCATGGCTTGATGAGTGGTGCTAGGTCCGCATCCAGGATCCAAACCGGAGAAACCCCAGGCCACCAAAGCAGAGTGCGCAAACAACCACTTGGCCACAGGGCCGCCCCCCTCTCCATTTCTGAATGTCCAGAACTGCCCATCCCTGGATGCCTTGTTTGGATGCACCCTCCTCTACAACACTCTCTCTCCTTTGGTTGGAAACCCTCTCTCCCTGGCACGAACTTATACAACATTTTACCACTCTTCTAAGCACGTGATGATGTCTGCCTTGTTGGTACAGTTACACGCTTTTCTCTCCTACCGAACGGCAAAGTCTTTGAGTGTAGAATCCAGCTGAGATTCATCCTTATGTCTTCCACTGTTCTAACACAAAGTGCTCAAAAACATAAATAAGTGCACAAGAAAGTGAACGGAAGGCTGGAAGGACAGAAGACTGAGAGATGCAAGAATAGAAACAGCAACAGAATACTCAGAATGCTGACAACAGGCATCTCTCCATCACAAGGATGCGAAGTAGGAAAAGTAACTGACTATAGTCACAACATGTTAGTTAAAGAGGAATTTTCCAGGAAGCCAGTTATGAGAAAGGAATAAATATGACCACCTTCATGCTCAGATCTACACATTGCTGACAGATATAAATTAATGCAAATATGTAGGTTTTTAAGCAATACAGGCTTTTTCTCTTTAAGAATTACTGTTAATGAGGCACAGGAAAGAGCAAGGAACTGGAGATATGCTACTGGAGAGTTAAGAAAATATATTCTCTTCTAAACTTAGTTTTTGTTTTCACTTGGCAATCCACAGGCTCTGAGCATCACCCCTTTAAAGATGTTGTCTCCACTCAAACATTTCACTAATTAGCTTGTCTCCTTAAGGCTACTCTCTTTTAAAAATCAAATCAAGAACTTAGCCAGTACAATCCCAAGTTTGTGGATTTGTGCAGATTTAGAAGTGTCCTTTAGTAAACAAGAACAGAAGAGTTTTAAATCAATTACCATATAAAAAAACTGAAGAAATGGACAGATTAATTTCAAGCATTAGTCTTCATACCTTGCCAATTTCAAAAGTAGAGAAACAGACGGATGGTCCTCAGGGCTGCCCGTTTCACTAGTACTGCGGCCTCTGCTTCTGGTCCAAAACGTTAATTGCTTTTAGAGAAGCCAAAGACAATCTTAGCATGTATTCTAAACATTCTTGGATGAGAGACCAAGGAAAACAAGTCCAAATGCCCCAAAAAACTAAAAAACAGTGAATATCTACAGAAGGGATGTGTGATCACAAGATTACGAGTTTTTCTCTGCGAATTTTGTCCTAGCCTCTTGGTATATCACAAAATCCCTCAGCAACAACACACAGTGCAGGAAATGAAAAGTTCCAATCTACATATTTTTTAAAAAGTAACAATTCACTTTCAAGGAGAGCAAGACAGGCACTTGGCAATGCCTTAAAGGAAAAGAGTGCTTCCTCAGGGTTTTTGTTTTTAACTTTCGTCACACAGCATGAAATTATTCTTCTATTTGTGAAACTAGGAAAATGAAGAGAGAAGGGGCTTCTGATTAAATGAAATAGAAATTGCCTTGGAAGCCCTCCATTATAGCAGATAATTTCAAATGCAACTTCTGGTTGGATTTCAAGGTTGGATACCACATTCAAGTCACCTTGGATAGCATTTAATTGATCCACAGCTACTACAAATATTAATCATGGTTAGTCTAACCAGAAGGAACCATGAACATATCTCTCTAGAGTTCTTGATAAAATATAAGATATAAAAGAAATGTTTACTAGATTAAGTAACAATACCTACCCTGGATTATCAGCTTCCATCAGTATCCAGGCAAAGGAAATTACTCTGAAAACAAAGCTACTTCACAGCAAGATTTATTATTATTAATACATCCAAAAGAAAGAAAGAAAAATCATTTTGTCACACTATATACAGATAATACATACAGTGTTTTATACACATATTACATCAGTTTTTACACAAGAAAAATATACATAAAAATGTAAACTTTTGTATACAAAAACCCTTAAACAAATTAAACAAGGACCAGATAACAAAAGGAGACCAATCCATTATTATTTCATCAAATTTTTAAAACAGTAATACAGTACATTCATTGAGATATATATGGAAAACGTGAGCCATCTCTTCTTGTTTAAAGGGAAATTACAAACCAAAAGCCCATCTTCAAACGCAGTCTCCCCAGCAACCACACCCAACGCCCCGGTGCCTTTCGTCAGGACGGGGGCTCTGCCCGCAGCCTGCCCGTCTCACCTTCTCCTAGTCTGTGCAGAAATGAGTGGCTCCGGGTTCTTGTGCATATAACTGAGCTCCCAGCCGCTACCCACACAGATGCAGAGCAGATTCTCAGTTTGTAAGTTCCCTTTAAGCAGTTGTTTGTTTGGTTTTTTTTTTTAGATATTTTTAATGTATGGCCTGTTAAACGTGTGTGCCAAGGTGAAGGAGCGCACTGAAAAAGGAGGGCTTTGAGAATGCTAGTCCTTGCTACCGTGCAGTTACTTTGTTACAAGAGATTTTAAAACTGTGCGACCTGCCTGTCACTCACTGGTTTCAGATAAGCTACCTGCCTCTGATTTCCCACTGCAACTTGATTTCAACTCTGCCTCAGTCCACTAGTTAGTACCATGCAACCGCCAAGGGGCTCCTGTCAAAGGCTGCTTCTGATATCAGGTTCCGCAAAGCTGCTGTGTGAAATCGCTCCAACCCCAACCTCTCTATTTCAGTTCTCAGGGGTACTCTTACTCCCCTGTTTCTTCTAAGGGCTTACAAGTTAGGATTGTCCATCTACCTTCTCTCTCTGTAAAGTCTTGAAATGTAATCTGCTGCCAAGTCGTCAAAATAAGATACCTAAGTTTTTTCTTAATATTCTTTCATTCAGTGTACCAAATTGGTATACTAATGAAAATACCTGAAGCTGTGAGAATAAGAATTAAATCTAGGTCAAGTGTATGCGGACTTGGAGTTCTTTTTTAAAAAAAAAAAAACATCTGGGAAGACCCTTAACTAAATAAATGCGAAACATACTTAGGACAGAAATAAATGCAAAACATACTCAGGACAGCTTCACGAGAGCGGCCCTCTCAAAGCTGGATCCTGAACAAGGTGGAACAACGAGGCAATTTATTTCCCTGCAGCTAGAGAGCAGTTAACTTCCTCCAGGCAAAATGACATCCATGATCATTGTTTATTAGCGAGAGGAAGAGGCAAACTGACGAATGAAGTCGATCCAGGAGAAGGAGGGTGACATGCACTAAGGGAAATGTTAGGATTGCTCCGTAACTGAAATAAACAGGCCAGGTGGAGGAACAGCTTCATTTCAGAGAGGAAAATGCACAGGGTCCCACATGTGAGCCTCCAGCTCTCTCCTACTCTCACGGGACAGATGGCGTTTTTAAAATGACAGTCTCCCTTTTAGTTAAGAAAACATAACAGTAAAAGGAAAAGGAAGATAAATAAATAACGTGTGGATGTCTTTAGATGAGACTTTTCAATGTTCTTTAAATAATTTTTGATAATGTATTTTAAATCATTACATACGACTGCCATTGCAGTGACAATATTCCAGTAGGGGCAGCATTTTGCTAAATGTAAAAGATTGCCATTTAAAACTCATACATATACATGTGTATATACAGTATATCAACACTATTTATATACATATATATTTAGAGAGCAACGATTCATTGCCTTGAGTATCTATATATTCACTCTCACAATATATACCAGAGACATACTGTGTGAGTATATTCCAGAGTGTGTGCACACATGCTCCCACATGTATGTAGACACTTCAGTCTGTGTGTGCATAAGAGCTTTAAAGGCACAATATATAGGGATGCGAGTCTTCTAGAGAGCTGCAGCAAAGTTAGAACAACGTCACAAATGTGAGAAAAGGCAAAAGATATAGCAGAATTCATGACACAAGAATTGATTACAGCAGTTCCATCATGAGTAAAATGAGCTATAGAATTCAAGAGGCTTCCACATGACTTCGTATGCTTGCATTTAAATGAAAATGGTAAATCCATGATTAAACTACAAAGTAAACCAAATTATTAAATGGCAAATGAATGACAATAGATGAGAAAATAAAGTTAATTAACACTAATATCAATCGTAAAGTCATAATTATGTTCTTGTTTACTTTAAGTAAAATATCCCAAAATCACCTAGGTAAAACTTTCAAAGTGATTTTGTTTGAATGTTGGTTGTTTATTTTTGAGACAGAGCTGAATGCCCAATTCTCAAAATTACTACAGAAAATAGTACCAAAACTTACATCTTCTGGGAAATTTCCGAGATAAAGATCTTTAAAAGAAACTGAGAAGTTAATGAAATATGCTTAAGCCAAATGCTTCTGGCTAGAAAGGATGTAAAACAGGGAAAACACAGTGAAGTGTGATATTCAGATGATGAGAGGTTGACTTAGAAGGTGGTGAAGGTCAAGAACAGAGGGCTTGGCAAGAAGAGTTCCAACAGGAATTCACTTCCATAATAAACCTACAACCAAAGGACTTCCATCTCAGTATGCCCTGATGTACTCCAGACTGTCACCTCCTCTTGCTTACAGAATAATCCAGAATTTTCCATAGATGTATAATCTTGCTTAATAAAGGCTGCTTATCTATTGTACACACACACATTTTTTATGGAAATATATGTATATAGCTTTATCTATACACACACATATACATACGTGTATATATAGATTTATACAAATGTATAAATAAACATAATACTTCTCAATCTTTCCATTGACAAGGCAAGTTCACATTCAGCAAAGTGCCACCACATTCCATATACACATCTCTGTACAGATATACACAAAAAGGTCTACTTTCGCCCTTCAATCAGGGGGAATTTATTCTAGCAAATCCCATTAACCAGTAACCGAAGGGAGAAATGGCACCAATACAAGCTCCCTTCTTTCATTTGCATGCATATGTACAAGAAATATGTAGATTTTTTTATAATCCGTAAAGCAAGAATGAATGAAACTGGGAGATGCTGCAAAAATACAACTGTAAAAGAACAACAACATATGAAGCTTTCCTAGGTCCTGACTGTATCTAGGATGAACGAGGCTGCAGAGATAGCTACAAATTCAGGTGTGCTATCAGAAGCTTTCCTAGGTCCTGACTGTATCTAGGATAAACGAGGCTGCAGAGATAGCTACAAATTCAGGTGTGTTATCAGAAGTTGTTTTGACGTGTTTCAAAGTACATGATTTTTTTATGTTAAAAATAAATGTGACTGGAGCATTTAATAACAACTCTAGCTTTGGCTATTTCAGACCACCAGATACTTCAGTAACGAATGTATAGCAAAATGACAAAATTCAAAGTATAGGAATGTTTTCTTAAAAATTCCATACGAATCAGGTAAAAGCCAAGGGCAGCATAATTTTTCCTATAACCAAAACATGGTGGGGGGGGGTAAGGGGCCATGCTAACTTCATAAATAATAGCACAACTGAGTAATTTTTAAAAAATTATTGGAAATAACTGAAATCATCCCAGCTTTGAAATACGCATGGTGAAATGATCCCACCGACTCTTTGTCCAAAAATGGCGTTCTTTATAAAAGGTCTATCCTTTTCTTAACTTCACCAAGAAAAGATGATCAACAATATTTTCTAACTCAGAAAATGAAAAAATCTATTATTAACATTAAAAAAAGGTTCAAATGATCTCTGGTCCCATCACCCCAACAGATAAACACAGCTCACGTCTGAGTCTGTCTCTCCCTCATTTTTATGCTCAAAGGCGAGAGGCTGGTCTTAGAACCTGCTGTTTTTCATGCCACTTTAAAAACACAGCATAATATAAGTTAACCACAAGGTTAAAAGAAAATCACATGATATCAGAACTAGCCTTTTAACATATGATAACATAATGAAAAATTTGGTGTATTTATACAACAGAGACAATGAGAAAATAACTCCAATACCCTCAACTAAATAACTTGTATTTCTACAACACATTCTGTTACCTCTCTCTCTTTACCTAAGCACACATTCATCTCTCACACACGTGCCCCAATGTCTATTTTTGCATGTGTGTAACAAGACAGACATATACATGCACACCAGCAATTTAATTCTATTTGTAAGTCACAGTGGGAATTCCTTAGTGAGGAGGGATTAAGTTCCTGAATAAGACACTGAGAACATCTAGATTTATTATTTTCTCTATTTTACTTCCCAACCTACAGGATAAACTGTAAATTAAAGGATAAATTCATAGGAAACAAAAGAGGTCTTACAGACTCAGTTTACCAATTCCAGCTGCAGTAGTCGGGAGCTCACTTGATCTATGCATTTCTATTTACCCTGTAACTAGGCTTCTCGCCGTCCTAAGTGGAAACCACAGATCACTGACTAAAGAAACTGATTCTCAACAGTCCTACGAGAAGCAATAAATGGTCTAAAGGTGTCCTACGTTTCCAGGCCCAGGATGTCCTCTTTATTTCATGCACCTGCAAGGTAGCAAAGGACAGTTGTACACCTCGACACGGCCGGTCCAGTGTAAGAAGGTGCTCCGCTAGTTTGTTTTGCCAAAAAAAAAAAAAAAAGCTCATATATAATTTTTTAGCTATTAAACACATAGGCAACATAATTCATTACACTCAATACAGCTTTAGTATAAAACTTATAATTTATGAGGTGATGTTAATAGCATAAATTAATATACCTTTTCTCTTAAAATCTACAATAAGTATTCTGAAAGCTCACTGGGGAAGGAGATTTTTAAATAAAAGTTTTAAAGCTGTGCGTGACGGGACGGGTTCTGTACGCTGAAGCTGAGATGAGAGCCTGAAGGAGAAAGGAAGAGTCCTATGCAAGACACCGCGGGCGACGAAACCAAGTGTTTTCTCTTTCTTGCGCTCTCTTCAATGAGTCACCTTTAGTTTCTTTTAAAACTATCTTCTTATTTTAAAAACTGCCCTAATTTCCACAAGGAATCCCTGAGACATACTCAACACTATACAGTGGAAAGAACTGGTACTGTCGGGAGGAACGGCTCCGACCCTTCCGCGCAGACGCAGACACGTCACAAGCACCAACCCCTCATCACTGCCACACTCGTCCGCTGGAGCCAACCATCCCTGAACGGGTGGAGGGTGGAGTCACGTCAGGGCAAATGAGACTATCCCCCAAGTCAGAGCACTGGTGTGGCCTTTAGCAGCACGGGGCTCCGCACTGCATGCTGAAAGTTTTTCCAAGGGGAACTTTGGGTGTGTACAGATAGAGCTCACTTCAGTGGTCCCCAGCTCAAAAAAAGAAACAGAAACAAAGAAACAAGTGAAAGGAGAGGATTCTATTACTCTTAGGCCAGGACCAGTACTGGTTGTGCGTGCGCGTGCACACACTTCGGTACTGGGGTGGGCTGAGGGACAGAGGGGGAGGCTGTGCTGCCCCACACAGCCTGCTAAGAGTCGAACAGGTTTCCTCCTACAAGATTGCTTCTCAGACCAAACCTGATGTCACCAAAACCTCTGCCACTCCAAGCAGCCCACACAAGCCCAAGCTTCGGGAACCCAGGGCAAAGACAGTCCCACCACCTTTGCTCTCTGAAGGGCCACATCTCCTTCCATCTGTTCTGTGTCACAGTGCTGACAGAGGACAGCTGGAGCGGGCAGAGTCTTTGCTATTGAGAAATTAGGCTAAGTCTGACGCACAATTTTCAAATTAATGACACCGGTCATTAGGAGACATAATAATTCATTTAGGGTTTATGTTTTCTTTCCTAACTCACTGGTCAAGGGAATACGCTTAACAGATATCCAAATATGTTCTTCACTGTATTTTATTACAAATCTTTTGAAAGACAGCATTTACAATGTTACTTTAATCCACTAAACATGGATTTTGTTCTCTCCAGAATATGATATTGGAAAGCTTATAAAGTCCAAGATATTAAGAAGTCATTAAATTGTTTTACCATTCTATAGAATGCCAGTGAAGATTTAATGATTTTCAGTGTATTGAGAGAAAGGAAAAAAATCTATGTTCTGTCATATATATATTCCCACCCCTTACCTCCACCCCTAGTAAATATATTTGCTGGGAAAAAGTCCTTGGAACAATGTAGGTGTTGGTGATGAAAGAGACACAAATGAAGATTATTCAGTATGACTATTTTTCTTTCAAAGAATCCTTTAAATTGCCTCAATAAACTGCAGAGTTCTGTTGACTATTTAGAAGACCATCATATTCTTCTATATATACCAGATTAAAAATAGAATTTAAAAGAAGGCTAAAAACAAGAAGGATGAAGAAACTAGATGCCTAAAACATTTTAAATGAATTTCAAACCTACTAAAGAATTAGTTTAGTGTTATTAATATCTGAATCTTTTTGCAACGCCAATTCACAACAACCTTTCGAACCTACTTGGAGAAAAGGCAGCTGCCCCACACAAACCTTGCTGATGCAGCCACCAACCCTCACCACCCCTGTGATGCGGGGGCACAGAAGGACTGCAGGCAGGGACCAAGGAACTGACAGTATGGGAGGGACACACATATGCTCAGATTCTAGCGCCAGCTGGTAAAAGTGAATGGTACAGGTCAACAGAAATACAAATTCTTTCACATAAGAAGAATACTATAGAGAGAGTGCACCCGTGTGTACCACGGACATCATTTCCTTCCAAATCAAACAACTGTCTTTGCTTCTGTGGATTGTGATCACAGACTGAGAATGAGCTCTGATAAGGAAAGCTTTAGTGTTAGCCACAGAAAATGATTCTTAACTTGCAGTTGAGAGATTGGGCTTATTTAAGAAATAGATCTTATAAATAATTATTTGGCAAAGATAAAGTATTAGCTTTCTTTAGCCTTAAGCCACTGAAGACATTAACGATAATTTTAAGGAAAAGAAAAAAATTCCATTTTCCAACCATATCTCCCTATCTACTATTTGCTTCTCATTAAATTAAAACTCTCTTCATGGAGTGCCACTAGACACAGCACACTGCCTGCCAGCATGAAACTGCTCAGGAAGTCACTGAGAAAGCAATTCTAGCTCACATAGCGGGTTCCTAGAGAAGGTAATCCTTTGCCCTAAAAGCTACGGGAAGATAACCAGAGAATTTTCCCATTGCATAGTCTGCCACTTGGTGGGTTAAGTGTAATTGCTATTTATTATCGTGAATTGTTTACTAGCTACATAACCGACCCAGATGTGCAAATTGCTAAGCCATTTTTACAGAGGAAAAAACAACGTCTTAAGTAATTTAATTAAAATGATATTAATAATTGTGTAGAGAGAGAAAAGGAGAGAAAACACATCTTTCCTTGGGACGCTACAGATCACACTAGTGAACATCACACGTTAGGACAGAATTCAGATCCTCGGAGCACAGAATGTATCCGTTAATCGCAAGACCCTGTAAATTAAACCACATTAACATAATCCGACTGGCCTTTATAAATGGTCCCAGAGAGCTGCAGAAACAGTGAACCTTCTTTGCCATGATTTCTCATGAGTTAAATACTAGAATAAAAGCTGGTTTTCACCTAATTAGGACCTTATATAAAATTCATTTTTGATTCTGCTATTGCCTTATTATATCATAAGTGCTATTTTAAAAGATGCTAATTTTCATATTTCTGGAATAAAAGACATTTCATTTCTTTCTTTACATATTAATAGCAAACCTACCAGTAATAGACTAGAATTGCTCCATTAGCTAAAAGAAAAACATAACAGCTATTTCTGGGTTCACAGATGTTCTTTTCTCTTCCAAAAGGGGACTCACAAGGAACAGCAAGAGCCAAGCAAACTGTAAGCTCGGACATCCGTTTTGCAGGGGATGAAATGAGAGGGCAAATGAGTCTTCTGCTAACCCTCAAACCTACGCTGGTGCTGTCTAAGGCGCCCTTTCTCCAGCTGTCCTCGTGGGCGTCTAAACAGAAAGGAATTTACTCAAAGTTTTTGGTGTGAAGCTGTAACTGGCAACATTCCTGATCATTTCATGCCTCCTTACTAGAAAGCAGAAAAGGGCTTTTCAATGCACATAAAACAGAAAATTGCAAACAATGAAATGTGCAACTTACTGCAGACTCAGTTTTGATAACTGAAGAATTTTAAGCAGCTACCAAGAGGGACAAATAGCCAGAAAAGTTCCAATCGACTACCCATGACTTTCCCTTTGCTGTCAAAAAAGGGCAGACGAGAAAGCCAATGAACTGCTCTGCTACCACCTTCAATTAGTGCACAATGGAGACTAAATCGAATCGCTGTTATCTAGTGATGATTATAATGCGATGTGAAAAGAGTTTAGCAAACTAAATGACACTTTTGAGCAGAGGTAACTACTCATAATCATTTCATTACAGTACATTAAAATAAAAAAGCTTACTAACATAGGTTCACAGGTGAGAAATATTCAAATTACCTGTTCTCACCATTCAGAATAGAAATTTATGATGATACCAAATATAATTTTGCTTTGTGACATAATTTATAATTTAGAAATTTCTCAATCTGCAAAAGAGGCGAAGCTATTAAAAATAAATCTTCCAATCAATTATCATGATTAAAAAAACAACTAAATATATTACAAACATATTTTTGGCCCAGAAAAAGAAACTTCAATAAATACAAAATAGGGCATATAATGATTTCATACAGTCACGTGACATTTCCCCTCCATAATCAGGCACGTGGAATCTGCATAATGCCTGCTGATCACCATCATTCCTTTAAAAAGCAGAGAAAGAAAAGCTTTCAAAAGAAGGGGCTGGTTAGAGTTAGCACGGCATAAAGAGAGCACATACAGCAAAAGTAGGAAAATACATCCAAATCTTTACCTACTGAAGAGGAATTAAGATCAAATATTCCCTGACAAATGAATTATTATATCACATCATTAATAGATATGTTCTCTCTACTCATCTTTTAAAATATATATATGTAACTTAGACGACTCAGGTATAAATAGCCAATGGTATGTCGGGGACAGCGAAACTTCCCAGCAAAAGCAGAGGACAGATGCCTTTCAAATCTCGTCCTACCCTTCTGGGGGAGGCTGTGGGGGAAGGCAGGTAAAAGAAACCTCACATATCATTTCATAGTCACCAACTTACTAAACTACCCAAGATGATTTTTAAACCCTAAAATCCTGGTACTTCATAAAAATTTCCCAAAACTTAAACCTAAGTACTTAAATTATTTTAAAAGTACCAAAGGGTGGGTAAAATTTATATCTACTTTCCATATTCTGCTTTGAAAGAAACTTTAAAATGTGCATCCTTCAGATATCACACATCACTTCACAACTGGTACACTGATCCTACAAGCGTCTTCAACATTTTACAAATCTTACCAAAGAATCACTACTGTAAACATGAAAAATTCAAAAGCAAAAGATGGATCAAGGAGTTCATAGATCCCGTCTTTCCAAATCTATCTGATCTATCCTGCACTTCACATCAAAATATCTTCTCTAGTTACATCCTGTGAATGTATTCCATGAGAGGGATTTAGAAACAAACGCATGTCTAAAAGGCAACACGACCACCAGACCCCCAACCTCAGCAACCCTGCAGCCGCTTCAGACAAGCTCCTCACCGCACCCCAGGCACCGCCGTGCTCAGCTTCTCGTGCTCTGGGCCAACTCAGCAGAACAGGTTTGCTATTCGCACAAAGAGACCACCACCCTCTCCATTCAGGAAACCCGTTAACTCAGTGGAGAGAATGACCAACTTCATTAGGGTTGTGAGATGTGGGAAAGGAGAAGTAAGAGCCTTACACCCATTAGAAAAAAATAACAATGGGACAGCTGCTTCCGACCCTGCAAACACACACGTGTGGGCGCGCGCACAGGCAGCCAGAAGACTAATCTTTTTCTCTTTGACTAAACATGACCACAGCTGGGAATGGATCCTGGCCTCCCGTGGTGTCAGCGCGTGCGGGCAGCCTGGCCGCCCCCGGCGCCGGCCGCGGTCTCTTACGCGGGGCTCGGAATGGGATCACTCTATCCAGGACCGCCCCTGTGAAGACCCGGGGACAGAACGGAAAGCAGTGATCTGGATGCTAGGAAATAGTAAAGGGCACTGGTAATCTGAGGTATCTTCCGCTTGTGGCACTCGCTGCTGACGGCGGTTCCGCGCAGTCACTGTGCGAGCCGCGGGGGCCCGGGGCGGGGCCTGCGGGAGGCGAGCACCGGCGCGGAGCGCTGCGAACACTGAAGCGAGGTCCGCCGCAGGCCACGGGGCGAGCTGGAAGGGGTCCCCTCGAGTCCCCGTCTGTGATTTTTAAAATCATCTTTAGGAAAAGGGGGCGGGGGATAAGGAGGAAACACATAGAAAACGCCAGGCTCCCCGGCCGCGGACACGCAGGCGCGCTCAGTTAGGGGACGGAAAGGGCGAGGCCGCGTTGTTGGTACTCGTCGCTGTGGCACCTGTGACTGTGAAGCCTGTGGGCGGGGCGATGGAGCTGTGGCTGGGCTGCAGGTCCTTGGGAATGCCACTGTGAGAACTCAGCTGGTGGCCGAAGGCTGCGCTGAACTGGGGGAGCTGCTGCTTGGGGGAGCTGGAGGCCACGAGCTCCGCGGACGGCCCCAGGCCACTGAAGCTGGTCTGCGGCAGCCCCGGGAGCACGCTGGAGCTGCTGGGGGTCGCGGTGGCGAAGGCAGGCTGGGTGGCCTCTGAGCTCGACGTGGTGGGCGGCGTGGACAGGGATGTGGAGAGAAGGTGGCCGTCTGCGCCCAGAAGGTTGCTGAACGGAGAGGAGTCTCCAAGGTTGACCGGGAGATTGCCCCAGTGAGTTCTGGGGTTTGCGACTCCTCCGAGTGGCACCTCGAGTGGGGCTGGGAGCAGGTGCTGCGCCATGATGGGCATCTCTGCTGGAAAGGTAGCTGCCATGTTATCAGCAGAGTAAGACGCCGTGTGGGGGGAGGTGATGTCGCTGTAGGGCGACGGCACGTGCTCGCTGTCGTAATGGCTTCCAGGGGGCGAGGAGTGTGAACGGTCACCGCTGTATTGCTGTCGTGAGGTGATCAGGTCATCTGCCTTGCTCAGCAGCTGGGCAGGATGTGGCCTCTGGGAGGCATGGCTGCCGTCATGGAGTCCAGGAAACTGTCCTGGGAAGGCTCTCTCCCCGAGGGCACTCTGGCTGATCAGAGTGGCAGAAGTAAGGCCGACGCTGGCTGGGGCGGAGAACTGCCCCTGGACCTGCCCTGCCAGGGGTGTAGGTGGGTTAGACAGGGAGGCCGAACGCAGCAGGCTCTCCTCCAGCTCGAGGCTGGGAAAGTTATCGTGGACCATGCGCCCGTTCAGCAGCTCCCCGAGGTCCGCGTTCACCTCTCGGCTCAAGGACGGAATGCCCGACGCTGCGGTGCCGGCGGAGAACACCCCTATTCCTCGGTCTGACAGCTCCTGCACCGGCACGCCGTCCGACGGGGTCAGCACCCCGATGGTACTCAGGCACTCGAGGGAAGTCACAGCCTGCAAGGCCCGTTCCAGCTCCTCGGCCTCCTCGGTGGTCGGGAGGAGGTCCCCATTCTTTCCTGAGGAGACAAAGCCACCGAGGATCAGCAGAGCGTGCCCCTGCCCCACACCACAGAAAGCACGTGTGAGAATTATTTTTAACAACGTTCTCTTAGAGAGAGGCCTGCTGAAAAGAGAGTTCCCAGGGATGCGACTGGAAGGAGAAAGTGAAATGTCAATGTGCAGGACAGGTCTGACAGCCAAGCTGCCCCGAGCGTGCGTCACACCCGCGGTTGATTTACGGCTCTCTCAAAGCCCTTCTTGGCCAAGTGTTAAATTCTGAGGGATGCTAACGGTTACCAGTTCAAACTCACGCTGACTGCTCAACCACACGCTCCTCTTTACAGAAAGTGACACTAAAGTCCTCAGCCAGGAAACACCTCCTGGCAGGGCATGCGGAGACCAGGCTGCGCAGGAGTCCAGCTCGGCCGTGGCTGCCCCGACTGGAGGCAGCTGCGGGAGACCAGCACGAGAACACCCAGGTGCGCTTTGGCGTAACACCACATGTGGCTCATTTTGTGGGAATCTGTCAAGATGCTTTTCATCACTTTGTAACAGTTCCCTCTCATTCTTCTCCCATTTCTAACTAATTTTCATAAAATGGAAGTCCATGAGCCTTCACTGATTTCACTTCAAATGTAAAAAACCTATTATTGGGACTTGATTAATCACCACAATACGACCCAGTTTTTAAGGGTGAAAGGAACATCCTAGGAGGCCACACATCTCCCCTGAGCGCTCCAGAGAACTGGGGGGACGAGGGAAACCACCGTGGGAAAGTGCATCTCACCTGAAGAACAGGGCGGATCGCAACGAGGAAAAGTTCAAGGCTTCCAGAAACTCAAGGTTCAAATGCCTTTGTTCAAAACTAAGGTAAAATGCTCATGTGGAAGGAAGACGTGACAAACCTAGCTGCCAGACCATGGACCCCCTGGGCCTCTACTGTGGTTCACAAATCGCCCATGCTCCCCTCTGAAAGGGGGGTCCAGAGGGTCAGACTTTCTACCCACAGCAGAAGACGTCACATGCGAGCATGAACACTTCAAACACATCGCAAAGAAACTATTTCCCTCTTTAAAAGCTCATTTTAAAACCTAGTTTCCTTGCGTCAAAATGCTGACCATACCTTCAAAAAAATCAAAGTCTTGTAAGTCATCAGGCAGCCGTGGCAGGACGTCTGAAAAGTCCTCCTGGTTCAACTCCAAGTCATGTGGAATGTCAGTGATCTCGTTGGCAATGTCATCCGGCAACTCATCAGCACTCAGCTCCGGTGTGGACGGGCTCCTGGGAGAGAGGACATGGTCGGCCCCACCACCCTGCTCTCACCTCCACACAACGTCCAACACACGATGGTCACCCTGCTCTCACCTCCACATAACATCCAACACACGACGGTCACCCTGCTCTCACCTCTACACAACGTCCAACACAACGGTCACCCTGCTCTCACCTCCACACAATGTCCAACACACGACGGTCACCCTGCTCTCACCTCCACACAACATCCAACACACAACGGTCACCCTGCTCTCACCTCTACACAACGTCCAACACAACGGTCACCCTGCTCTCACCTCCACACAACGTCCAACACAACGGTCACCCTGCTCTCACCTCCACACAACATCCAACACACGACGGTCACCCTGCTCTCACCTCCACACAACGTCCACCACACGACGGTCACCCTGCTCTCACCTCCACACAACATCCAACACAACGGTCACCCTGCTCTCACCTCCACACAACGTCCAACACACGATGGTCACCCTGCTCTCACCTCCACACAACATCCAACACACGACAGTCACTCTGCTCTCACCCCCACACAACGTCCAACACACGATGGTCACCCTGCTCTCACCTCCACACAACATTCAACACACAATGTTCACTCTGCTCTCACCTCCACACCAACATTCCCAAGACAAGATTGTGACTCTCCTCTTACCTCCACACTAACATCACCAATACCTATTTGTCAAACTCAAAAATGGGAAATACCAACTCCAAATGTCTCTTTCCCCACTTTCACAGAAGGAAATTTGAAAGCAGAAAGACAGACCTCAGAGTACGCAGTCACACGTTTCTGCAAACTCTACCCATGTATGAAGAGAAGACAACCATTTCAAGACAATACTCTTACTTTGAATTAGTAGAATGAACTACAATTTGGTGTATCAAGTGTGTCTTAATACTTTTTAGAATTTCCAATCTGGCCAAATAATAATCTAAAAAGATGAAATAAACAGATAAAACAAATATTTAGTGAAACAGAAGCCTCATTTATCTGGTCAAAATACCTACCCCTGCCGAAATTAAACTGCATCGGATTTCTGACGGAACATACGTGAAGTTCCTGTTTCTTATATGAAATTCTCAATTTCAGCATCTGCTCCATTATAAGCAAAAGCTTTATTTCATATCTAACCCAGACACCTGATAAAAGCTACAGAAATCTACCAAGTCTAGGCTGACACACCAAACGGCTCCTGCGGGCTCGTTCTGGCCTCAGGAAAATACACAAAGCTCGATGCCCTGAGCACAGCCAGACGCGGCAATGACCGTAAGCACACCACTGACCGGATCTGCGCGGCCGCCACTGGCAGTGAGACGCTGGCGGGCATGCTGAGGTTCCCCTGGGGCACCGCGGGGGGGATGGGCTTCTGGGGTCGACGGGGTCCACGCCTTCTCTTCTTCTTGTGTTTTTTGGTAAGTGCAGGAGGCTTGGTTTTTTTCCTGGGTTTCCTCTGCTGCTGGTGCTGAACTTTACGGGAGCTGTCTCCTCTCAGGAAATTATCCTGTGGAATGAACAGACGGGTATTTTAAAGCTGAGATCAGCTATCTAAAAAAACACTTATATCTCTAAATATTTTATATAAAGCCTAAAACATACTATATGCCTAAAACTACGTATAACAATAATTACAGGAATAACAAATTCATTTTTTATTTAATTCAAATCAACTCAATACATACATATAGTTCACCCCACATGTAAAGATGCTGTGATAGGCGCTGTTGTATAACAAAATGAGTAAAATTTAATTTGCACTCTCAAAGGACTGACTCTCCCATGGGGAAAACACGAACACAAGGATACATCAATAAGTACGGAGAAAACCCCAATGATAGCATAAACACCTTCTATGGGTGCACAAGACGAAAATCAGTGATTTTTAGTTTGGGGGATTAAAGGACAAGTAGGACTTTAACTCCTGGGGTCGGGGGAAGGTGGCTCTAGGCTAATGGAAACAAGACAGAAAGAAGAACAAGTCGCCGGGTGTGACAGGTGCACGGGCTGTAATGGAGGGCGAGACGGAGGAGTCGGCAGGAAGAAGCCGGGACCGGGTCCCCCGTGACTGAACACCCTAGTGAGCATTCTGACCTTCTGACTTTGTAGGCTATGGGGAATGATTCATGATGAGCAGAGTAACATGACTTGACAAATGTTTCACAAGGGACAGACAGAAGAGGAGCTGGGTGGAGGCAACAGTTCCAATCAGAGGGCTCCTCCACGGCCGATCCAGGAGAAATGGTGGGAGCGAAGTGAGCGGGCCAGTCAAGAGGATCCTCAAGATCAGACAGCTCTTTGGACGTGGCATGGATGAAGGGAATATGACTCTCAAATGTCTCTAGGGTTCCTGGTTTGGGCGATTATGAGATGATGACACCATTAGTTGGGACAGAGAACACAGCAGAATAAACAGATTCAGAAGAAAAGCTAAAAAATGCAGTTTGGCTCACACACAGTCTGAGGTATGCAGATGTCCAGGGAGGTGGGAGAAAACTATCTGGTGCTCAGGAGTAAAGAAAGGGACGGAGCTGTGCCCTTGGAAATCATGACACAGCGTAAGGCCTTCTAGTAATTTCCCTGGGCCAGGGAGACAAGGTGAAGACAGAGGACTATGGGGACACAGCTTTATAAAACGGCTCCAGTGAGGGGCAGGCAGAGGAGATACCAGCGAAGAAGAAGGAGAGGTGGACCGTTAACTAGCTTTCTTCAGCTGGTACCCTTAAACCTGCATACCGCATTGCCTCAATTCCAAGACGCACAGTTTACTACCTCCGCAATTGGGGGGCATTTTACAATAATGGCACCCTGTAACTGTGGTGGGCCAGGCGACGGTCATTATAGCTGGCACTGCCTGCACACGCTCAAGGCTGGTCACGGCTCTTTGTACTGCCATCGTTTGAATTAAGGCGCGTGCACTGTTGGTTTTGCATGTAGAGGAAAAACTGCCTTGTATGCAGAAAGGCACAACGAACTGCAGGGCATAAAACTGCTATTAGCAAAGCAAACACTCATTATTGAAGAACTGACCACAATTTTTTTTTTTTTTTGCAAAGCAACAACCAAATGAGAAAGGACAATAACCACAAAGTAGACAAAGCTGTGTTAGTTAACGTACGTAGAAAACATGGCCTTTCACATGTCAAGTAACATAGCTGAAAAGAGGGGCGATATAGAAGATAAAAATCTATGTCTAAGTCTGTCTAAGGAAGTATTTTGATAAGTATAAAACAAAAATTGTAAGTGACAAGAAATGCACTATGCAGCTTTTCTTTCTTGGTGGTATACAAAACAAGAGTGGTTTTTACAAATGATGTCACCTTTGACCTGATGAATTCAGTAATAACTCTTATAACTAAAAACATAAAAAGAATGTAGACAATAGTATCTGAAGACTAATGACTATCACTAGCATTAAACAAACTCAAAACAAGAAAGCATAAAATTAAAGCATAAATTCAGGAAATCTAAAAGAAGTTTAATTCCAGCCAAATACTTGAATCCAAACACAACCACAGACTCAAGCCACAAATGCACAAATTTTTAAACAACAACAGAAGAGGATGCTGCTTCCCAGCCTCTCCAGCTCTTTTTGGGCTCAACACTCAAGGTCTACTTTTATCATGTCCACTATTTAATTCACCAAATACTGACCGGGCAACGACACCCCACCAGAGTGCTGGCGCCCATGCCAGGTCATCCCTCTAGGACGGGGGGATCTCAGGCAGGAGGAGTGAGAGAGCTCCAGCCCAAGACACCAAGTCCCACTTGGAAGACTCCCAGTGCCACCCATCTGGTTCCAGGCTTGTGTCTAATTCTCCTAAGCTTACGCCTCACACCTGGCAGATACTGGGAAAGCGCCAGGTACTCACAGGACGCCTGCGATGGAGGCCCCGCCTTGCTCAGGTCCCTGGGGAGCTCCTCCAGAGGGTGAGAGCCCTGTGCCCTGGAGGCTATCCCAACGCAACTGCTCGGCCACTGACACCACTGACAAGCACTTTTCAGCCCAGCCTTCTCACTGTCTCACCCGCGTCCATGTCGGGACGCTGCACACGCTGACTTCCTGTCTGCTGTCTCATCCCTGCTGAGCTCCAGGCTCTGTCTCGCACCTGGGCTTCCTGCAGCAGAAGCTTGCTCCACCGCTGCCCGTCCTAAGCAGTGGCCGCGTCTGGTTCCGAACCTCCACCCCTCCCAGCCACGGATCACTCAACAATTCCTGACTGAGCATCTCTGTTCTAAGCACTGGGGAGACAGCAGTGAACCAAAATGTGCTGCCTCTGAGAAGCTGACGTTCCAGGAGACGGATACAGACGACAAACTAACTCATCAGTGATGGAAGTTCAGGCAGATACAAGCGTCAGGGGAAATAAGGGAGACTCTGAGGACAGAAAGTGACACCGGACAGGGGAGGTGGGGGACTTCTTTAAGGAAGTGACATCTGATCAGAAACCTGAATGAACTGAAGGCCTGAGGCAGGTGGAAATCTGGGGAAAAAACATTCTAGGAAAAGAGAAAAGCAAGGGCGAAGCCCCCGAGGGTGGGAGCATCCTCCCAGTGTGCCAGGACAGCCAGAAGCCCGTGCTGCTGGGCCTCCAGAGGGGAGGGGCCGAGACGCGAGGCTGCAGGGCTGCCAGGGCCTGATGAGGAAGCACCTCGCAGGCCGTGGGAACGACTCTGGACTTGGTCCTAGACGTGACAGAAAGCCGCTGGAAGGCTCTGATCAGATGTGTACTCTAGAAGGCCTGCTCTAAAGGCGACATACTGGACAATCCATTTATAAGACATTCTGCAACATGCAAAAGTACAGGGACAGACACAGATCAGTGGAGACAGAAGACAGGGTTGATATAAAGGGGTGGCACAGAGAGTTCTGGGGGTCATGGAGCCGTCCCACCTCCCGATCGTGGTGGCGGTACACGCTCACGCACGGTCAAAACTCACAGAACTGTCTGCCAAAAGAGCCCATTACATAAGTTCGGAGGAAGAGGGCCACACGGCCCACTCTGGCCGCCACGTGAACAACAGATCTGGGGTGGGAGGCCTGGCAAGGAGCAGGGAGACCAATGAGGAGACGATGACAACAATCCAGCAAAGACACGGCAGCCAAGGCCAGGATGGAAGCAAGAAAGTCATGGAAATGGGTCTGGATTCAAGATGCACATGGAACGTGGAACCAAGACATCTGCAGGGTCTCGTCGCCCAGTGTCAGTCTCTCCCAGGGACTGACGAGGGACAAGCGTCTGCTGTCCTCTTACGTCATTTTAAACTTAAAACAAAAATAGCTCAAACTGCTTGCAGAGAGAAAACCATTTTCAAAATTTGGTATCTTAAATTTATCTTTTACAAACCGGACTAATATTACTTTATATTATCTTTTTATTTTGTACTCTCATATAAAATACATATTTTATGACTAATCTTATTATACTAATTCAACCTTATGTTTGTCTAGCTGAATTTGTCTAAGTAGGAATATTTATTTAATCAGCTGAAGAGAATAAACTGCTTTCAATTCTTTAAAAGCATTCACATACTAATTGTTGTTATACCATCAAAGCCTCACTCCTTCAATCAGGAAAGCAGAGCCTGCAGTACAGCCTCCCTAGTTAGCAGTATTTTCCTTGTCTTCTTAGAAGTGTGCTGGAATGCTGTAACTTTAAAACCACAATATACAACCGGGATCATCTACTGCCGTGGTGCGAAGCGCCCATATTAACAAGGGTCTGTGAAATCATCCGTGAAGGGCTGCAGAAGTGGTCGAAAGACACACAGAAATCACTCCTTAACCATGACAAAACCTGAATAAACTAACAAAAATGTCTGTATTTTAAATGTTTTTATTAAATTAAAATGGGAAAGTAAATAACTACTCAACATTTGTATATGTAGTTTACCATACAAATTTTCAAAATATGTCTATAAAAGAAATTGAAAAACAAAAGAGGTTCTTGGGAGTGAAGAGGCCAGGGACCTAAACGCCTGGACCCCGAGGTCCAGAGAGGATGCAGCACTGGTCCTTTGCACGTTTAGCTAGCGGCAAGGCCAGGGTCCCAACCTTGGACTAAGTCCTGGTCCAAGGGCCACTCGGCTCGCTGATGAACCCTGAAAACTGTAGACTGCTTAGAGAGGGCAAGAATTTTCTTACTCAACTTTTTAGTACATATACCTTGCAGAATACCTTGCAAATGGCAGAAGAACTCAATAAGTGTCTGATGGGTAAAACGATAAAAATGCACTTATTTTAAATGATTACATAATTCAGATAAGTTCACTAATTCAGACTTGTCTCTTCTCCAAATTATTCTGAATTAATTAGGGTTTATGATACCAGCATTAACAAAAGCAGTATTGAAGTTCAATAGAATTACAGAGAAGTTTGGCTTTGGGCCAAATTTTATCAACTGTTCAAGACATTCATAGAACTGTATATAAAAAAGCAAAAATGTAAAGAAATGGGGCAAAGAAAGAACTGGGAGAATCTGCTACGCATAAGAAGATGTATCTTAAGGAGAAGCGAGGTGCAGAACAGGGGTAGATAACAAAATACCCGCACCTAAGCTCCTGCTACGAGCCTGCTACAACAGTGTGTTGTTTTGTTTTCTAATGAGGATATGAAATTAATCCAACGGGTCATGACCAGCATTTTTTTTCATAAAACAGAACAGACTAGAAAATATTAGGTACTAAAAGTGCTGTCTCATAGCACTTGCTGCGGCGGTTAACATACACACCCAGTCTGCCAGTCACAGCGTGCCTCCGACTGGACGGCGGCCGCGAGTCTGAAAGCCTCTGTCGCAGAGCAGAACATGTGCACTCACCATTTTTTTGGCATGTTCCTCACACAGAGGTGTCTGGTGTGTAATGTCGAACACGGGCACCGAGCACTGCTGTCCGTCCGCAAACTTGGCCGTGCAACTTGAGAAGAGCTGCTGAGAGCGGTTCAAGAGGATATCTGGTTTTTAGGTTAGGGATAAAATACATTGAAAGTGGGGGCCGGCCCAGTGGTGCAGCAGTTAAGTTCACACGTTCCGTTTCTCGGTGGCCCGGGGTTCTCCGGTTCAGATCCCGGGTGTGGACATGGCACCGCTTATCAAGCCATGCCATGGTGACGTCCCACAGATAAAGTAGAGGAAGATGGGTACAGATGTTAGCTCAGGGCCAGTCTTCCTCAGCAAAAAGAGGAGGATTAGCAGTAGTTAGCGCAGGGCTAATCTTCCTCAAAAAAAAAAAACAAAACAGAACACCGAAACTCTCAAAATTTTTGTATAACATTTGCTTCCTCCTTTACTTAGTCTAGGAAGTATACATTTTCTTATCCATAAAAGCTAAAGAAGCAACCCAACTATGATACCAGAAAACGGTAACAGTTGAATTTATCCTCCTTATTCATGAGAAGACACTTCTGAAGGAGTCTGTTTTGCTAATGGGCTCCTAACACAAGTCTACCTCATGGCCATTCTGACGACTGTTATTTGGAGAAGCAGGGTCATTTCTGTCTCAACACACTAAACTCCTAAAAGTTGCACTATAATGGTTAAAAATAACCCTAACTTCCTTTAAGGAAAACTTCTGCATATGATACTCATCCAGAAAAATAATAGGGGCTGGCCCCATGGCCAAGTGGTTAAGTTTGCACGCTCCGCTGCAGGCGGCCCAGTGTTTCGTTGGTTTGAATCCTGGGCGCGGACATGGCACTGCTCATCAAACCACGCTGAGGCAGCGTCCCATATGCCACAACTAGAAGGACCCACAGCGAAGAATATACAACTATGTACTGGGGGGCTTTGGGGAGAAAAAGGAAAAAAATAAAATATTAAAAAAAACCCCAAAAAACCTGCCTTTAAAAAAAAGAAAAATAATAAAGATATAATTACCAAAAACTCATTTATGCAGATTGGGACTTTTCATTTCACATTTCCAACACCAAACTCAAACTTATAACTTATGAAAAAGTACCTTAAAATCAAAATTACACTATCACCACTGGAACGTCAGCTTCACAGCATCAACGCTGTTTCGCATCCAGACGCTCAGCCACTACGCACATTCCCACACCGTTTACTTTCTCCCCACTCAGGGGGTGACTTTCTCTTTTCGTTTATGCTCTGATGGCTAAGGCTATTTATAAAGGCTTTCCCTGCACAGAAACTGCTCCTGAAAAAGTTATGAAAATGCAACCCTAAGAGCAAAAAGGAGGGCAAAAGTCAAACAAATAGTAAAGAAGAGTAATCGCGACTATATGAATTTTTAAATGCTACTCAATTTTAAATGTTTAATAAAAGTGAGAGTAGTAAGATTTCCTAACAAGCTTGAAGCTCCTGAACATGGGTTTTCCTCAAGTATATTCTGTCTTCAGGAAGCTTCTTTCCTAGTAGTCAGAGAGGTTAATCTTCCATTTGTTTCAAATCAGCGCTGTGCTCAACACAACAGCAAATCCTTCCCACAGCACGAGGAGCCCTGTGAACCGTGCAGCTTTCCCGGAGGACTAAACAGTCTGAAGAACGTCTGACTTTTCCATCAATGAGTGTTATAGTTGCTTCTTACAAACCACCTAGAAACACTAGAAGAAAGAGAATTCTGTTAACAAAATTTAATTGACAGCCCCTAGAAGAACCTCCTACTGCTGTCAGTTTTGCTTATTTTAATGTGATTCTTGAATAAAGAATTGCAATGAGATAAGCAGAAAAGAATTATTCAGAAGTCATCATTGAAAATTAGAAGTTACATGAAAATTATTTTAAACATTAAGTAAACAGCTATGATTTCAAAGTCATTCACTGGCTTAGGAATGAAATACACAGCCCCAAAGGAATCAAGGCTTCTCGGTGCACACGGATTAAGCAAAGAGGATACGCTGGAAACAATGTCTGGTGAAGGGGAGGGCTCTGTGAGGGCATGGTTCACCCTTCACGCTTCCACTGCACACGCCTGGCTCCATCTCCCTCAACTTGGTCCGGCTTATGCTAAAAAAGAAAAAGACAAATTAGTTTTTAAAAAACGCTTTAAGAGTCCAGGGCAAGTTTTCAACATGTTACCACAATGTAACACCAACATTTCACCTACCTACATTCATTAAATGAATGTAAATATGAGTTACAATGACCTGCTCCAATATTTCCGCAGTCTACTGACAGAACAAACAACTACATTAGAATCAGTTGACTATATCTATCTAGTTTTTTTCTCTTTTTTTGCAGGGAAAGATTTGCCCCGAGCTAACACCCCCTTCCAATCTCCTTTTTCCTCCCCAAAGCCCCAGTGCATGGCTGCACACCCTAGCTGTAAGTTGTTCTACTTCTTCTATGTAAGCTGCTACCACAGATGGGCGGTGTGGTCCCGAGCCCGGGAATCTCACCCAGGCCGACAAAGCAGAGCACGCCGAACTTTAGCCATTAGGCCATGAGGGCTGGCTCTATTGAGTTTTTTTTAAAGAGTGTTACTTTGGTTCCTTTTACTTCATAAAGAGGCAGCAGAGAAAAGTGACGAGGACTTGAGAAGATCAGTCAGGCCCGGCTCTGACTCTCATCTCTAGCCCTCCCAGCTGTGTGACCCTGGGCCAGCCAGCGCCTCAGCCTCCACTTCCTGCCCTGTGACGTGAGAGAAGAGTGCCTTTAGCTGTCGGGGATGCACCGGAAGACAGCGCATCCAAACACCCGTCGCATGCAGGAGACGCTGTGGTCCACAGCCAACAGTCCAGGTCAGCGGTCGCCGCTGTCATCATCACTACCAGTAGATTTTGGCTGTGTCTGCTGCTGAGCAGGGAACCTGCAGAACCTTCACCTGACTCATGAGGAAGGGGACACTGATACCCAGAAAAGGCTGTTTTGCTGTCATCTTCCAAACTGCACCCACTTTGGACTTTTTTTTTTAACTTCTATGTTTGACTCCATCTTTCATTAAATGCTATCTCCACTTCATACACTTAATATTTACATATTTTATTTTTAAATTTTATGACTAGGCAATGCATTGACATAGTTCCAAAAAAATCAAGGAATAGAAAGCTGGAGCTCGTCCCGACGTGCGAGCTCCCACGCCCTCTGGAGCAAGTACTCATCCTAAAAGTTCGTGGCCATATTTTTATGCGGACATAAAAAAATAAAAATAAGCAATATTTAAATTCTTAGGGGCACAAAAACTATCCTCCTCTCTGTGTGCTATAAAGCATCAGAAACACTAGGCTTTACGTGTGTCTGAGTATGGGAAAGAGTCTACTTCGTGCACGGAGTCACAGGGCACGCATTAGAAACAAAAAATCCTTTGAGTTGTTTATTTCTAGTATCTTTCTAAGTATTTCAATGGAATGACTTACATTAAATAGACAAGGTCATACAGAATATAAATTATAAATGAATTTACAGAACATCTAAATAAAAGACCCCTTCTATTTTAACTTCCATATAAACAGTAAGTGCAGACAGATAATCAGGTGCTGCCACAGAAGCTGCTTTAGTGAAGAGTTCTGCAAGGTTCAGCATAGTCACCAGAGTGGGGAAAGGGTCATTAACTTTAGCCCTGGAAAACCGAGAGAGAGTTTCAAATAAAGAAGCTAAGCCCAAACTCTCTCGCCCTAGATTTAAATAGAAGGCAGTGCTCTATCCTGAATGGATAATTCTGTTGAACACTAATAATGTGCTCAGCCATCTACCAGGGCTAGTGTACAGCACATTCTCCCCAGCCCTTCATCCCGGACTTCACAGGAAACCACTGGTATTTTATTTCTACATCACTAGTATGTTTCAACTCACCAATCTCTCTCTTAAAATAAACCCAAAGTCAGAATTTCAAGATCCCTATGGATAATTTAAGGTAAAAATGCCTGATGTGATGTTAGATGTACTTTATTATGCAGATAATCCCAACAAAACCAAGGAAGAATTACCAAAGTGTATTGATGTATTAAGATGAAAACATCTTCCACAGGCTTCCCTTTTGAAAGCTCTGTCAGAGCCCCTGTTAACACTGAAGTTTCCACACAAATGACTAGTCTCTGTAGGATTGTGGGCTATAAGATACCAGGATGAGGGTTTATATACTTCAAACTATTTCAATGGTTTATTCCACATATTCACCAATAAATATGACAAAGTTATTAGATAAAAAAATACTTTAGGGGCCAAGCCCGTGGCCGAGTAGTTAAGTGTGCACACTCTGCTGCGGCGGCCCCGGGTTTTGCTGGTTCGGATCCTGGGCGCGGACATGGCACCGCTCATCAGGCCATGCTGAGGCGGCGTCCCACATGCCACAACTGGAAGGACTCACAACTAAAATATATAACTATGTGCTGGGGGGCTTTGGGGAGAAAAAAATAAAAATAAAAAATAAATAAAATCTTTAAAAAAAATTTAAAAAAAAATACTTCAATGTTATTCAGTTTATATCCAAACTACATTTTAAAGGATACCTATTAGAAGGTAGCCATTAAAGTTTTAATTTCTAAAATATTTAATGCAACTTTTTAAATGTCTTTTGTGGAATTAGTCTTTGATAGCAAAAACATCAAGCAGATAGAGGGCATTATCCAACTGACAGCTGATTTCTATGAACCTAAAACACAACGCAAAGGAGTAGGCTGCCAATGGCCGGGAATGAGTGCGGCACACCTCGGTGACTATCAGTGAGGCAGTGGGCAGCACGTTTTTTACTAACTGTGGGAGACACAACCAAATGACATCAGATACATCTGAGAACCGTAACAGAGTTCTTCTTGGTGTTTGTTTTGTAACTTACTCACGAAATTTTTTTTAAAACGTCACTAAAGGTGGTTTGGGAGATGTTCTGAAAAGGAAGGGGCTGATTTTGCCTTCATAAATAAATCATAAGCACAAAATCATAATATTCTAATCACATAACCACATAATCATAAATAAATCACAAATCATAAATAAATAGTTTTCTACACAAATACCAAATTGTCCCAAACCCATAGTATCATCTCTTACATCTTTGACAAGGTCATAAAACTATACTAGACTCAACGTATACAGTGCTCCACATACACACTGCTTCAGGCCGGATGAAACTAAAGTTTCTACTGAAATTATATACTTAAAAGCATTATATAATATAAATGTTAGATATCATTATTTTAAAACCTATGTCAAACGGAGGGAATTCTTTCAACAAACAGAGAAGAGCCATCTCTTCACTTATCCAATTCCATTCCTCAATACTGGAGATTTAAGAACAAAATGCACACTGTTCCTGCCCTCATGGAAACTATCGTCCAGCCTCCCAGATGGACATTAATGTGAGCATAAAATCCTACAAGGAAGCAGAGTACAGAGCACAACAAGCATGTATAACAGGAGACCTAACACAGTCCAGGAACCCAGGAATGTTTCCCTGGGAAAGTCAATCTCTAAGTCAGTCAACTACCACCTAAGGAACGTTCTAGCACAGACACTACCTCCCTACTGAGGACTGGGAGCTCTAAGAGTGAGGGGAAATACTGCAGGCTGCCGTCATTATGCAGGTATATGAGATACATACACAGTTTCAAACAACTCTATGCCAAGAAGCAGAAAACTCTCCAGGGCATAGTATCTTTTTGAGATACGTGATTGAAAACTAGGCTACTTTCTTATAGCAAATATAATGAAAATATACAAAACTAAAATGAAATTTCAAATACTACATACGGATGTAAGAAATATGATCAACAGCTACAAAGCAAAGGTCATTTTTTAGTTTTCTGTTTTTTAAACCCTTTTTCTTCAAGTGACTTATGGTCACTACAGAAAAACTAGAATATATAGACTACAATTTTTTTTAACTTTAATTTATCAATAATCCCATCACCTAGAGACAACCACTGCTAATATTTAGGTATATAAACTCCTAAAAATGTTATATATCCAAGGTTATCTAAAAAATTAATAAGTAAAAAGTGTGAAAAAATAAACTCAATACAGAACTAAACCTTCTAAATTTGAAAATTATTTCCCTAAATAAAATGTTTTGGAAATTTTCAATTCAATTAAGCTAGTATTTCAAAAGTTTCAAAACGTAATATAATTATGACTTGATTTACATTTTTACCACCTGGATAGACTTCCCAAATGGTAATACACTGTATTTCTTCATCAAAATATCAAATAACTCTACATTTCCAATATATAGATTTTCATTCAATAAAATATTATGTAAACAATATAAATCATGTTTTCAAAACAATCTTTGAGAACAGAGGGGAATGGCTATGATATATTTTTTACAAGAAAAAAACTGGACACATACTCCTAAAGAGGACAGATCCAGTTACACTTAAATACATAAATAAAATATAAAGTCTAAGGATTGACATCCATATTATCAAGCCATTAAAAGTCATGTCTTAAAGAATATCATGAGAAAATGGTCATAATTCAGTGTTAAATGGAAAAAAGCAGGAAATAGGAAAAACAGCATGATCTTAATTTTGCTTTTTAATACAAACACACGGCTCAATGCAGATTTCATCTGTACACATACATATACACACATACCACACAGAGAAATAGATTAGAAGGAAAAAGAATCAAAATGTTCATAGTGCTCATTCTGTTTTGTGAATGGTGATATTATTGAGATTTTCCCCTTCTTTTTTCTATATTTTTCAAAATTTTCACAATAAGTATCTACACTATAAACAAAGGGATTTTTCCCCCAAAGAAATCTAATGTAATAAGATATTTTGAACATATAATATGTGGAAAAATGCACTGGAAAGAAAATTTTAAAATATTGTAAGTAAAAAATGTGAAATACTTTTGTAGTAAAAACAAAACACAAACAGTACTTTGAAATAACATGAAAGATCTAAGTCTTGCTTTTTTTAAAGACAGGTAACATTTTCTTCCTTTACTGAATAAATTCTAATCAAACTCCAGCAACATTACAGTAGCACTTTCATTTTACTGTCAGTTAATGGCAGTATCATTTCAACACCCGTGTGGAACTTTATCTGAGCAACAAACCACAATGCCACCCTAAGCACTTCGGCTGAACCGCCCGCCTCCGGCATCCCCCAGCGCGCCTGTCTCCGGCACCCCCCAGCGCGCCTCTGTCTCCGGCACCCCCCAGCGCGCCTCTGTCTCCCGCACCCCCCAGCGCGCCTCTGTCTCCGGCACCCCCCAGCGCGCCTCTGTCTCCCGCACCCCGCAGCGCGCCTCTGTCTCCGGCACCCCCCAGCGCGCCTCTGTCTCCGGCACCCCCCAGCGCGCCTCTGTCTCCGGCATCCCCCAGCGTGCCTCTGTCTCCCGCACCCCCCAGCACGCCTCTGTCTCCCGCACCCCCCAGCGCGCCTCTGTCTCCGGCATCCCCCAGCGCGCCTCTGTCTCCCACACCCCCCAGGGCGCCTCTGTCTCCGGCATCCCCCAGCGCGCCTGTCTCCGGCATCCCCCAGCGCGCCTCTGTCTCCGGCACCCCCCAGCGCGCCTCTGTCTCCCGCACCCCCCAGCGCGCCTCTGTCTCCCGCACCCCCAGCGCGCCTCTGTCTCCGGCATCCCCCAGCATGCCTGTCTCCGGCATCCCCCAGTGCACCTCTGTCTCCGGCACACCCCAGCGCGCCTCTGTCTCCCGCAACCCCAGTGCGCCTCTGTCTCCGGCATCCCCCAGCGTGCCTCTGTCTCCGGCACCCCCCAGCTCGCCTCTGTCTCGGGCACCCCCCAGCGCGCCTCTGTCTCCGGCACCCCCCAGCGCGCCTGTCTCCAGCATCCCCCAGTGCGCGGGGCAGCCAGGCGCAGAGGCAGGGCGGGCTCTCACCTGGCGCGGCCGCACGCGGCCCTCCGCAGCTCCTGCAGGAGCTGCCCAGTGCCTTCCGGCTCTCTGCTGGCCGCCTGCAGCAAGGCCTTCCTGACCGTGTGCCGGCACTTCTTCTGCCGAGACTCTGCCCGCTCCAGGCGGCAGAGGTGCTTATATTTCTGCTGAAAGTAAGTGCAAAGTTGGGTCACCCTGGAGCTCCGAGTCTCCGTGTCATCGTCATCTGACCTGGAAAGGGCGGGGAGAGAAGTGAAAAACCAATTAAACATCAGGCTTGTTTAGAAAGCCTCGAGGAGGGTGAGGACTGGCGGCTGGACGTACAGGTTAAATCCTGGGGCGCGTGAGCACACCAACAATGTCAGAGAACGCCGGCAGAGCTGAAAATGAGGACACCGTGTCCACAGCTAGTGAGAGGCAGGGACGACCCAATGCTTAAGATGCTTTACTTCCCGGCTTGTCATACTTAGACGCCTAACGCACCAGTCTTCTAAGCTCTAAGTGACTAGCGATTCTTGGGAAGAAAGTAATTTCTTTACCTTCCCCTACTAAAAAGTCTGAGTATGACAGAGCAGTTCTCCTCATAAGCACTCAGCATAATTTCCTGAAAGGGAGGTCGCACCACAACAGAGCAGTGAACCCGAACAGCGCACTCGCAAACAACTGCCCTTTTAGACGACCCTTTCCTGCCAAGCACTTGAAGAATCCTGGCTGCAGGGATCACAACCATCCTACGGTATTTTTTTTTATTACCCTCAGAAGACACCCTGAACAACATTTCACACACCAGGGATCACACAGAGGCTTTCTGTCATTACGCTGGCGTTGACTCACTGGTGGCCTGCTGGAGGGCCACGCTGAAAAGGATGCTGAGGCTCAACAAGCAGAGCGCTGGTCAGTCGGCAGTGCCTACCGCCAGTGAGGGTAACAGGGCCACGCTTCCACGGAGCAAACGTGAGCCCACCTCTTACTGTGAGCAGCAGCGCACACTGGGTTTGGAAACTGACATGCGTTATTTCACTTCTTTCTCTTCTGTCATAACATAAGTAAACGGCACATGTGTGACAGTACAGGCAATATATTATCTTACTAAACTTCTGTGAGCCATCGCTTGGGGTCTCCTCTCTCCTGAAGCGGCATCATTACTTTTCCTTCAGAATAGCCACAACTGGCTACTCTTTAAACTTCTGTTAAGCGTGTGTCCTAAGAAACACATTCTCTTCAGTATAGTTTCTGCTACAGATACACCAACTGAAAGATGGTGCTTCAACCTTTCATTTATTCGACATTTACAGTATGTCTATTATCCTGAGTACTGTAGACGAGAAACAAAAATTCCTGGGAGTTTGCAATGCAATTTAGACAAGATAAACACACCCCAAAAGTTAAACAATTCAGAAGAGGATAGAATCAGTAACCAAAACTGTGGGGCAAACAGACCAATGACTCAAATATCTGACCACAAATTAGAAAAATCTAGGAGCTTTTTTAAAATTTCAGATTCCCAAGACCTACCCTAGATCTACTAAACTAGAATTTCCATGGGATGGGCCCAGGAATCTTTATTTTGAATTGTTCCTGAAGTAGAGAACAATCAGTGACAAAAGAGAGAGAAAGTGCTGAGAACTCCCTAGAAAGACTGCTGGATGAAGGGCTCCGTGGAGGAGACGACAAGAGTATGAACTCTGAAGAAAGGGCTGAATCTGAAGAAGAGAAACAAAGGCACCTCACAAGAATAAAACGAGATAAGCCAAGAGGCAAGAAGGCAGGATGGGGAAGCGGAGGTGCTCAGCAGCTCCGTCTGGCTGGGGGTGGGCGTGTAGGGGAGTGACGCTGGGGAGGGTAAACTTACTAAACCTACATGCCAGATTAAAGAGTTCAACCTTTTTTCCACAGGCAGTGAAGAACCCTCAAGATTTTTAAGAAAACAGGTAACAACAGCAAACTGTGCCTGAGAAAGATTACACAGTCAGCAGGTATGCAAGGGAGAGACAAAAGAGGACGTGAGGAAATTACCCTACAGCTCCAGGTAAGAGATAACAAGGACCACACAGGTGGCAGCAGCAGGACTAGAGAACCTGAGAGGTGATCTGCACATGTAAAAGACAGACTTGGTCACCTGTGCAAGGAAGACGGAAGGGAAAGGAGTCACTCAGCAGCTTCCATCGGCACAGACCAGGGAAGAGGAACAAGAGCAGATCTAAGGCAGGAAACACACTCCATGTCAGACCTGGGGAACTGAAGCACAGAGGGCGTGGAAAAACCGTTGGAAATGATAAACTAGAGCACAGTCAGGGACGAGACACAGATTTCAGAATCAACCACCAACAACTGAAAGACATGGGAGTGACTACAAGTAAAAGGCCACAGAGGTAATAGGACAAGAACGGGGGGGCCATCATCATTAGGAATGAACTCAATTTGGTGACTGGATATGAAGGACAAGAAAGCCAATAATGACTCGATGACTTTGAACCTGCAAAATCAGGTGAACAGAAGTGCCACTCATAGAAAAAGGAAACGAGGAGAGACACTACGTCTTAAAGGAAAGTAGCGCTAGGGTGGATAATCACTTGCCAAAACTGTTATTTGAAAAGACTGTATTACTGCAGGAAGGATGGACTAGATCAGGGGTTCTCAGGTTAACTGTGGAAAGAGGCACCTGGATGCTGAGGCATGTTACATCATTCTAAGTTTCCAAAGTTTATGCATAAGTTCCATACTTAACTTGCTCTGGACCCGTGACACTTTGCAGACCAGCACAGGTCCACAGACCATCTCTGGCATGGTCCTAAACTAGAAAATCTCCAAGATGCTTCCCACTTCTAAGATGCTATGATGTCAATGTTTCAAACCTGGTTGCTGAGGAAGAGCAGCAAACTGGGATGAGAAAGGCCAGTTCCCATCACTCACCAGCAGTGACAAGGCCTGGCACCTACTGCGTTCTCAGTGTGTGCGTTCCTCCCTTCCTTCCTTTAACTGTCCTCATCTGTGAAGTGGAAGAGCAGTGGCTTGCCTATCTCCCGAGGTTTTCAAGAGAATGAAGAGAAATTATCTATGTGAAATCACAAGATAAGTACAGGCATTATGATCATTAAATGCTACTAATAACTCCAAAAACAGAGCAGTAAATTCCAAACCTGATTTCCGAAGAATTCAGAATTGTGTGTAATCTCAAGGCATGACATGAAGTTCTCTAAATAAAATTCATTTTAATTTATTTTATTAAAACAGCGGAAGGCAAAAAGGTAACTCTGATAAAATAGGGAACTCAGAAAGAGGCACATGTACTGAGGAAAATGAGTGTAATTTTAGAAATGCTGAATTTAGGGTATTGATACAATATTTGATGAGAAATATCCAACAGGCAGTTCAAATTCAAAAGAAAGGTCAACATGAGAAAAAGATTTGACAGTTATTCACAGAAAGATAAGAGGTGAAACAAAAAAGAGTGAAAGACTTATGGCAATATGGCAACGCAGATGCTCAAAGGGACCTAAAGCAACTTCATTCTAGATAAGACATACTTGGGGACATGCTGTTGGACGCAAAGTAAGAGAAAATCTATTCCACAAAGTGCTTGATCAACAAGCAAACAGACTATTTTTTAAAAAATGAGAACTGAGGCTAATGTTGGAAGCAGGGAACAGAGAGGGAAATGGGGGCCAGCCCAGTGGTGTAGTGGTTAGTAAGTGCATGCAGTCCACCTCGGCAGCCTGGGGTTCACAGGTTCAGATCCTAGGCATGGACCTACACACTGCTCATCAAGCCATGCTGTGGCAGCATCCCACATGCAAAATAGAGGAAGACTGGCACAGATGTTAGCTCAGGGACAATCTTCCTCAAGCAAAATGAGGAAGATTGGCAACAGATGTCACCTCGGGGCCAATTTTCCTCAATAACAAAAAAAAGCAGGGGGACGGCGCTCTCAGGGCACATGGAGACAGAAGCACCCACAGTAGGTATAAATCCTCATCCCAACAAGATGAAGGAGCTCAATCTAAAATTCTAGGACCAGTCTAGGACCTACAAAACCAAAATTCCCACGCAAATGAGGAGGTGAGCCACTTTGCATGACAAGAAGAAAAAACAATAAGTGACAGTTACAGACTTAGAAAAACTCCAAAGGCCAGAATTATGAGATTCAGAATATAAAATAGTTGCATGTGGAATGTTTAAAGGATGGATTTAGAAAGATAAGAAAGCAATAAAAGATAAACAGAAATGATCAGGTAGATTCGAAAAGGAAATAAATGAAACATTTATATAGAAAAAATTATTTTAAACCAAAATTCCACGGATATTTTACCCAAGAGAAAGAAAACAAGGCAATTAAGTCTATGCCATTCAGTGTTTTACTGAAGGTCTTAGCCAGCGCTGTAAGGCCAGAAAAAGCAACCAAAGGCAGAAAGATTAGAAGGGAGGAAGTAAAACTCACAAACGACATAACTATTTGCAAAGAAAATCACAAAGAATTTACCAAAAATATCTAGAACTAATAAATTTATTATATATATTATATACATGTAATATATATTATTTATCAATAAATATATATTAATGACTGCAGGTCAATCTAACAGTAAACTATTTCTACATAAGCAGCAAACAAATGAAAAACAAAATCACAAGAAAAGTTCAGTTTACAACAGCATCGAAAGCAAAATACTTCAGAATAAATTTAATAAAAGACGTGCAAGACCTTCATACCAAAAATTCAACACTACTGAGAAAATTTTAAAAGGCGTAAACTAGAACAGTATCCTGTACTCATGGATTGAAAGACTTGCTATTGTTAAAATGTCAATTCTGTACAAATTGACTTATAATAAAAAACAAAATCACAGGGCCAGCCCAGTGGCACAGGGGTTGGGTTCACACGTTCCATTTTGGTAGCTTGGGGTTTGCTGGTTTGGATCCTGGGCACGGACTTGTGCACCGCTTGGCAAGCCATGCTGTGGTGGGAGTCCCACATATACAGTAGAGGAAGATGGACATGGATGTTAGCTCAGGGCCAGTCTTCCTCAGCAAAAAAGAGGAGGATTGGTGGCACACGTTAGCTCAGGGCTAATCTTCCTCAAAAAAAAAGAAAACCACAAGAGCTTGTTTGTAGAAAATGACAATTTGATTCTAAGATTTCTGTGGAAATGTGAAGTACCTAGAATAGTCAAAATAATCATGAAAAAGAGCTAAGTTATAAGATTCAAACCACTGAATTTCTACACTTACTA